ACTTTTGATAACCAGCTGACCTTCAAAGACCACATTGCAAAGACCGCTCGATCTTGCAGGTTTGCATTGCACAACATCAGAAAGATCAGGCCCTTTCTAACGGAGCATGCTGCACAACTTCTTGTCCAGGCCCTTGTCATCTCTAGGCTGGACTACTGCAATGCTCTTCTGGCTGGACTTCCATCAAGCACAATCAAACCTCTACAAATGATTCAGAATTCAGCGGTACGACTGGTCTTCAACGAGCCCAAAAGAGCCCATGTTACACCTCTCTTTATCTCCTTGCACTGGCTACCGGTCGCGGCTCGAATCAAGTTCAAGACATTGATGCTTGCATATAGAACAGCCACAGACTCAGCACCTGCCTACTTCCACTCACTACTATGTATTTACATCCCCTTCAGAAGTCTGAGATCCGCTAGTGAGCGACACCTCGTGGTACCATCACAGAGAGGCTCAAAATCACTTTCCAGAACATTCTCGTTCACCACTCCTGGCTGGTGGAACGATCTTCCCACCCCTATCCGGAATGCTGAATCCCTGACAATGTTCAAGTGACAGCTGAAAACTCATCTCTTTCGAAGCTACTTGACTTCATCATAAAAAAAATAAATAAAATAAAATAAAAAATTCTCTCTCTTTATTTATTCCTTCTCTTTCTAGCTTGTACTTATTTGAACAATGTCTAAGAACTTGGTATTACAACCACTTCCTCTGTCTGTTTGCCTCTTTAAGAAGAATCGCTTTATGCATCCCCCAATTGTAAGTCGCTTTGGATAAAAGCGTCTGCTAAATGACTAAATGTAAATGTAAAGTAACGACCAAGTGGCCAGCAGCAGACAGTGAGCTGATCAGCCTATTGATCAATTTAGCCTTCTCAAATCATCATGACTTGCCTAAAATAAAATCTATAGATATAAAACAGTTCAAGCATATCACAATGTTAGTTTAAATGTTTAAATGATATAAATGTGTGCTATTAGGTGCATATCTAATAGTTTGTGTGAAGAGTGGAAGCTGAAGCTCTGCAGCACATGGAGGCGCCAGCACGAGCACTCACTTGCATTTTTTTCTTGATAGTGGAAACAACTTAAAATATGCCGTAATTTTTGCTCATAAAGGTAAGAGTAATACATTCGGAAATGTAAAGGGTCTACTTTTATTTGTGTGCATTCACAATATCAACAAAACGTTGTGCTTTTGTAAAATAAATAGAAAAACAGAGTTCTCGTCTTGAACAGGAGGCTTCACAATGATGAACCGAAACTCAACGAATTGAGTCACAGAGAAAATAAATATATCTATAGAAGAAGCTTTAAATTACTACTTTAAAATGAAATAATTCAAATCGAAAACAAAAACTCTTTCATTAGACTATATGTAATCCTTAAAGATGCATTTCTCTCTAAAGGCACGTCCAGAGATGGCGAGTCATTTTTTCATCACCATCTAAACTATAAAAATAAGGAAAAGCCTTAAACAGGCCCGATTCAATTTTTTCTGAATTTTTTATGTTGCTCTGCTCTGAATACCTTAAAATGTAAAGGATTTGCTGCAACGCAATTTTGTCTGATATGTGAATTATTTATTGGCCTATTTTTTTTTAATCCATGCGGCAAATGCTTTAAAAACAGCTTTAAAAATACTTAATTGCATTACAGATTATTTTAAAGAACGTTACACTAAAATTTTACGGGTAGCTTGAATGTAAAACATTGTCATGAATTCCCATTTGTAAAATAGACTACAAATTAATTGTTGTAGTCTAACCCGATCTCATGAAAGTACAATTTTCTGTTTCTATTTGGCGTAATGTTTATACGCAGAAATTGACTTTGGCGTGCAAAAGACTGATAAATTGATAATTAATGGCATGGCTGGTTCAGTCGACAGAAATACGGGACACACAGGCTTATAATAACTGCTGAAATGTTTGCGGGGGAAATCTCAGATCAGTCTGAGGCTCATGGTAGCCTACTCACAGTGCATACAGCCCTACACCTGCAGGCGCCAGTGTGTATGTGCTTGTGGGTATTACATTTGTGTGCGGTTGTTGCCGCTAAAGTTGGCCATGATTCGGGACATGGTGTTGATCATTTTTAGACCTCTTTCTTATCTAGTCTCTTGCTTTTTGGAGAGGAATGCGGTTGCCGCTATTAGCCTACTGGGTTACTGTGCTAAAAAAAATAAAAAATAAAAAAGTTTGCGGTAATTTCAGCACCACAGCGCTGAAACACTCAATGCTTCTGATAACCTTGCCTTCTGTGCTTTGCAAATACAGTAGGTAACACATGCTGATGACTGTAAAATTCAACACGATTAATTTGGTACTTCTGGCTGTGTGTGTAAGAGAGAGATGCACGCAAAGAGTTTCAATTTGAGTTTCGATATTCAATTTAATATAAGAAACTGATAAGATACTGATTTTAGTTGGCCTAAATTAAGTAGGTTAGGCACAAATTTGCATATATGGGTTCCCTTCTAGACGCGAGTGCTGTGTGTTTGTATGTGCTTCATAACCGTGCACCCCAGGGGGCCCGTTGTAATAGCCTGCACTGGGGCCCGTCATTACTAAGTTACGCCACTGGCCTGATGCTTTGTTTATGGACTATTTGTGGGTGGCTGTTTGTTGTTTCACCTATCAATTCGTGTCGATAAAGTATAATAGGGTAAATCCTGTATAGTGATTTATCAGTGCTTGCATAAAGCAAGTAGTGCAAACACTTGTAGCTGTTATGTATCTTTGTAAGTCAGCCCTCTTTTGAGGCACGCGCAAGCGCACGAACCCCCCCGTTATAAAAACAAAAATTTTCTTTAATTTTTTTAAAGTTACACAGAGGTACGAAAATGCCTGTCAAAAACATGAAAGACGCATTACATATCAATATATATTTTTTCACACTCACTGACCGATTTCTTTACCAGCATCAGTCCTGCTCACGGCTACCAGAAATTCATTCATTTTCAGGATTTGAACCCTTTATATGCCGGTTTGTTTACATAATAAGTCATTTTTTGTGTGTGTCATATTAACAAATAAATAAATAAAACTTTACCATTCTAAAACACCAATTCCCTCGTTCTTATATTTAAAAAAAAATAATAATTCTCAGCAAAAAAAAAATCAGAAAACAGAAAAAGGTGAATATTTGCTCTATATCTCAAACCTGAGAAAGTGGTGACACCAGCTGGAAAATAAAATAAGCATTTTGAAGCCTTGCTAACGGAGTGAAAGCCCGTTAACAAAGAATGCATGATTTATGCTAAAAATGGCACTGTGATTAAATATTGTGGCTTTATTTCTTTTGTCCGTAAGGTGCTGAGTAGAACTGTTTAACCCAGTGCAAACCTTGGAAATGAGCGTGAAATATTGGTATTTCAGTGCAAAAAAAAAAACAACAACATTTATGCAGTTTGCATTAACTGCCAAAAAATTAGTTCACCCAAAAATAAAAATTCTATCATAATGTATTTACCCTCAAGTTGTCCTAAACCTGCATTAGGTTCTTTCTTCTGCTGAACACTGAAGATGCTTTGAAGACTGTGGGTAAGCGAACAGTTCTTGGTCTCCATTTACTTTCATATAATTGAAACAAAAAATACTATGGAAGTGTGTGGCTACCAGCAACTTGTTTGGTTACCAACATTCTTCAAAATATCTTCAGTGTTCAGCAGACGAAAGAAACTCATACATACCGTAGTGTTTATATCACACCTTTCTCAAATGATGCTGCGTTATTCTTTTCCTATTTCACTCGGTGATCAAAGCTCTTTTCTCGTTGCTCTCTGGCAGCTACCAACAGATGCTACACAGAAATCTAGTGTATCTGGCCACAATAGCAGACTCCAATCAGAACATGCAGTCTCTGCTTCCCGCCGTGAGTATTTATTCCCAGTCTCCCATCTGATACATTGCCATTTATTGGCTTTAGCTGTGGTATAATAAAATGGTAAGAAGCCAGAATATATTTATATCTAATGTGCATAATTCATATGATCTGTATAATGTCACACAGCTTGGGTTTGAATTGAATTTAAGATTAGATTGCCCTTGAAAAAAGGTAGCATGTATGTTGGTGTGGGTTGACACAAAGGAAATTGCCTATAATAGGCTTTACCACAGAGTTTATAAAGTATAAGTATGAAATTGAATCAGCATAAAAAATATCAGAGCATTTTGGCTAACAGGAATCGATATTAAATTGCCACTTATAAATAAACCTGCTAAATCAATGGATAAATGTGAGCCTGGAGCACAAAAGCAGTGTTAAGTCGCTGGGGGATATTTGTAGCAATAGCCAACAATACATTGTATGGCTCAAAATTATCCATTTCTCTTTTATGCCAAAAATCATTAGGATATTAAGTAAAGATCATGTTTCATGAAGATATTTTGTAACCGTAAATATATCAAAAGGTAATTTTTGATTAGTAATATGCATTGCTAAGAACTTAATTTGGACAACTTTAAAGGTGATTTTATCAATATTTAGATTTTTTTGCACCCTCAGATTTCAGATTTTCAAATAGATGTATCTCCAAATGTTGTTCTATCCTAACAAACCACACATCAATGGAAGGCTTATTTATTCGGCTTTCAGATGATGTATAAATCTGTATTTCAAAAAATTGACCCTTATGACTGGTTTTGTGGTCCAGGGTCACAAATAACAGAGTGAAATCAATGGTTGAGTAAGTGTCTGTGTTTCTCTGTAGCCACCCACTCAGAACATGCCCATGACTCAGAGTGGAGCGACTCCACAGCTGCCCCACGGTCACAGTATGCCGTCAGACGGGCCGCCCGCAGCACACATGCAGGGCCAGATGAACGGACAGATGCCAGGTACAGTCAGACCAGTGCACTCCAGTGTTTCCCAAAGACTTGCACTTCCCCTGGGGGAAATATATATGTATATAATGTAAATATAAAACAGCAGACGGGCTGATTGAAAGTGCAAATTCATTCTCTGCCAGCAGGAGGCGCTGTAGGTGCGCAGAAATAGCGGCGTACTCCCCGTCAAACTCCAGCAACTGAGGAAAACTGGCAAATTTTCCAAACTGCTTGGTGGAAAAACTACCTGCAAACTAATATACTGTGCACAAATTTAGACACTTAAAGTGTGAATGTTTTCAAGAATAATACCATGAGTAGTTTTTATTTATCACTTTACTTAAACCTAACAAAATTAAATCAGCATTTGGCTTTAAAACAATTTATTTCTAGGTAGACCTGCTCACAGTTTGCAGGTAGTTTGTTTCAAGCCTCTTGGAGAAAGTGCCACAGTTCTGCCTTTTCACACTGAACACGAAAATTTGGCGCGAATGTTCAGCGCGATGACGCTTTGGAATGGAAACAATATTCACACCGCGGTGCGAAAAAGCGAGGATTTTTTTCCGTCCTGTGTATTGATTTTTTTCCCTGTCGCGCCGTGATGAAACGAGCCATCCAATGAGATTTGAGCTTGCCCAGAGGAGCTGCTGTTGCACAAAAGGGTGAGAGTGGAGGCTCTCTTTCGAAAACCAGTGTAAACCATAGACTGTAAAAAACATGGACGTAGTGTCTGTAACCTCACCCGTTGACTTCTGAAGAGCTTTTTTGAAGCCCAAAGTGGGCGGAGCCGGTCGTCTCCATCTTGGCCGCGCGTCACTCCCGGATAATCGAAAATGGGCAAAGAGGAGGGACGTGGGTGGCGCTGAGGTGCTCAGAGTGTTCACTGCACAGACGAGAAGCCTTTTTAGGAGTCCAGTTCTGTCGTTTCAGGTTGAGCATCCACTGGTCTAGTCTGAGAGGGTCTGGGTCACCTAGAGGAAAACTTTACACTGACAAATAGATGGTTACCTTTTTCACAGACTACTTTGCACAGTCCTCATTCTGTTCGGGACATTTTAAAACACTTAATTTGGCTTAATGCATTAAGACTAGGGCTGCACGATAAATCGCATGCGATATTTAATGCGCATCTTATCAGTAAAGCCGGTTCTGTAATCAGCGGTAAATCTCCATCACATGCGTGCTGTCACATTGAGCAGCATTAACTACACAGAGCCGTTGTTCACTGACGAGCTGCGCAAAACCACGTTCATATTCGTGCGATTTTTTGCGCAGCTCGTCAGTGAACAACGGCTCTGATTACAGAACCGGCTTTCTGACAAGATGCGCATTAAATATCGCATGCGATTTATCGTGCAGCCCTAATTAAGACAGTGTTTTTCAAAGACCAAACTCAGAAAACACGTTATTAACAAATCATACTTCTGTACAGACAAGCAGATGAGTCCAGGATAAGAAGCGTTTTCCTGCCATTGAAAACCGTTATAAGGAAAATGCTTACATGGCTTAATGCATTAAAACAGTGCTTGTCTGTACATAGTATGATTTATTAATCATGTTCTCACTGAGTTTCGTTCTTATAGCCTAACGGTTTTCTATGGGAGGAAAACGCTTAACGAGTAACGTTAATTACAGGCCTAACGTTACAGCTAATCACAGTCTGTCGGATTCTGGAGTGTAGTAGAGTTTTGAATAAAATTATAAAGAATAAATAAAATTACATTACAATATCACTCACCGGAAAAAATGGATCCCAGACTTGGACGTTCTGTTAGTACAATTAACCGCACAACAAGACATTTTATTTGATCATTTTAAGAAATAATCACGAAAATAGACTGGATAAAACAAAAGCAGAAACACGGCAGAGATGCCACGTTCAGCGGCTGATAGACACAGCAGCGGCAATCCAGCTGTCACTCAAGTGGCCACGCCCTTAATTATGCAGAATTTTAAGGCTTAATATAATTTAAACGGATGAGTTATAAAAAAATTCACCCCCTCACAGTTGTCATGAAGGGCAAAATTAGCTATATAGATCAAAATCATTTTTTGAACCAAGCTGTAAACATGTTTTTTCCTGCTGTACAGTTGGGCATTTTAACATGGGGAGTCTATGGGACTGACTCCCTTTTGCAGCCAGTCGATGAATTACAGTTTAAGTCACTTCCGTGTTGGCTTCACGAGAGAGAGCCGGAGGTTACCTCCCGATGTAAACGCACAGAAGAAGAGTGTTCTGAGAGAGGAGGATGCGTTCTTTGGTATCTGAGAACAGATTTATTCTCACATGTTTCTGTTTCTGGTGTAGAACCAAAATGTATCTTAATTTAATGCTGTATATTAGGCAGCAGATGATGTTAAATTCATATACGAGATACATATCTGAGGAAAAACGCATTTCTGCTCGGCGCCACCTGGTGTGCAGGCGTGAATTAGCAGAAGGCAATCAATCGTTTCGTGCTCGGTGTGAAAGCACCGTTCGCCGGCGATTCGCCTCGCTTTTTCGCATCACATCCAGTGTGAAACGGCCTTTAGGCTGTCTAAATGCTTGCTTTTGCTTGTGTTTTGAAGCTATATTTAGTTGGTTAGAATTCTTAACCTACAAGTGTTTCGATTTTATTAATTACTAATTATTTTAAGAAGTATTTATGCAGGTGACTTCATAAAAATGCGCACATAAATGTGATATTCAAAGTTGGTAAACTCATTAATAAGTAAAAAATGTAGATCAGGAATTGTTTAGGAATAGGTTTGTGATTCCTAGAATCGGATCAGATCGTGAGCTGCCTAAAGATTCCCACCCCTACAAAGATAATTTTTTTAGCTGGCACACTAAAGCAAATGATATAAATAACCATCTTAAATCAAATGTGTTTGTGAAGCATCTAATGTATTTACATCTTCTCATAGTTTGCTTTTAGTGGTGTGGTTATTGGATGCTTATAGGATTGTTTTAGTTGTATTTTCACATTAAATGTGAAGGGGTTTGTGTTGTTAAAGTGTCATGAAACCCCCATTTCAGCACTGGTCTTTAGGGCTGTCAAATTTTTTTTCCCCGAATTTCGAATATTCGTCGAATTTAAAATAAAAATCCACATTTGAATTATAGGTGTGCGTCAGGCTGCCTTATCAGTGGCGCTTAACATTTGCAACACATCCTCACGGTACAACTTTTTATCAGCCATTTGGCGATTTTCTCTCACAAATCTCACAATATTGGCGGGGGTTTCCCCATCCCACTTGGCTTTCCGCCCTTTGTATTAAACTATGCATACATACATGATGCTGTTTTGTTTATAGTTGTTTAAGCAACTTAATTATAATTGGATTATAAACATTATTTTAAACATGCACTTTTTTTTCCACAGATAGTCATGTTACCTTATGCGTTGAATTAACGTGCATTAGTAATATTTTGCTCGATGCGCCCTCTTGTGGCCTCAGGAGAGAAGCCAAAAGCTTTTCTTCACCCTAACTGAAATTATGCATAATATTTAAGTACAAAATTCGAATTAAGTTTTTCAGCCATTTTGACAGCCCTACTGGTCTTTCACACGTTAGAGTTGAAAAAGACTCCAGAAATGGGCGTGTAAATCTGTGGAAAATGGGAGTGAAGAGGGGAGAAAACAACCAATAAATCACAGACCTACAACACAGAAAAATAAATGTTAAAATATTTTAATTCGAGAGAATAAAGGCATAGTTACTTCTTGTTTATTCTTCTTTGAATTTTTGGTCTTCATCATCGATTGCTGTGTATCACAATAAAACGTTTTATCATCGCGTTCATGAACAGACGTACCGCTGTGTCTGTGCCCTTAATTGCGTGTATTTTATTTGAAGAAGACATGAATATGAAATATGTTCACAAAACTTGAAACGCGCTTGCTCGGGTCCAGATATGAACTATGATCCGCGCAGCGAGTAGTGGTTCAACGAATCACAAATCTCACGGTTCGGATCATATTATGCTTTTTGAGCCTCGGATTGTTTTTCGGATCAGCAAGAAGAAGAAAAATTCAATGTAACTTTACTTTCCATTACTCAACATAACAAGAGTACAACAATTCAACAGAACAATGTTACAAATAAAATAAGGTCGGTAGTATTCAGGTGCAGAAATGTAATAATTAAGTGTAAAATAACGCTGCATATTGTTCACTGTATAAATTAAATATAGATTCATCTTTGTCAAAAACATGTTTTGTTGTTTGATGAGCATAATAACAGCAGCGGGTATTATTAGGCTGCTGCCCCTTTAAGAGCTGGATCCAATATAATGAAACGCATCCCATTTCTTTCTCAGCTGTTCTCGTTCACTTAACCCTTTAGGCGCCAGGGTATGTAACTTTACTTTCCATTACTCAACATAACAAGAGTACAACAATTCAACAGAACAATGTTACAAATAAAATAAGGTCGGTAGTATTCAGGTGCAGAAATGTAATAATTAAGTGTAAAATAACGCTGCATATTGTTCACTGTATAAATTAAATATAGATTCATCTTTGTCAAAAACATGTTTTGTTGTTTGATGAGCATAATAACAGCAGCGGGTATTATTAGGCTGCTGCCCCTTTAAGAGCTGGATCCAATATAATGAAACACATCCCATTTCTTTCTCAGCTGTTCTCGTTCACTTAACCCTTTAGGCGCCAGGGTTTTTTTGTAAAAAATGCTGGATTTTGACATCAAGATTTCAAAAGCTTGTGACTTGAAAGGGCTGAAAGATAGAGATCTACTGTAAATTAGAAAAATGTTGGGCATGACCGAAAGTTTATGTGGGGTGTAAATATAATCGTAAATGTAATCGGCCATCTTGAATTTCGTAATATTCAGGAAATCGTAGATATTGAATTGATGTTTGAACTTATTTACATGTTTTTTTTTGTCTTTTTATCCTCATTCCAAATGATCAGAAAAGAGGAAACCAACAATAAAATAGGAGAAAGTACTAAATTATTACGATATTACAATACTATATAGTAGTAAAACATGTGAACAGTAGCCTACTTTTTGATCAGTTCATCAGTAATATTCAGGAAATAATAGATATGGAGTGGATGTTTTAACTTATTTGCATGTTTTTTTTTTGGTCTTTTTATCATTCCAAATGATCAGGAAAAGAGGAAATCAACAGTAAAACTATTAGTAACTATAGTAAATTATTACTATATTATTGTGCCATAGTAAAATGCATGTGCCTATTTTTTGATCAGTTGACCAGCTATCTGCCCAATCAGGTATCTAGGTGACACAGTTTATAGTTCTTGAGAGTATGGTACCTCTCATTGCATGGCACAGCGCACAGACCTACCCCACACTGACTGCACCTGTACTTTGTAAGGGTGCCGCACTGGTCAAATCTTTCTCTCCTAGATAACCAACAGGCTCATCGAAGCGTTTGATCCAGTCCTGATACACTTCTTCATTTCTCAAAAAAACCCAGCCACCATTGCCATCGCTTTTTCCAGCCCTATTTAGAGCCTGATCACTCCTGCTGCCTCTACCACGTCTCCCGGCTCTCCCACGCACAGCACGGCCACGTGTACCGCGGCCACTCCCACCTCTTTGGGGCGCTGGATCCGAAGATCTAGTGCTACTTCCAGCCCTATTTCTCCTACCCCTGCTGCCTCTACCTCTAGCAACAGCTCTCCTATGGACACTACGACCACGTTCACCCCTGCCACCCCCATCCCTGTTGGGCAAAGGGTCAAAATGATAACTTGTTTGTGATTCGTGAACACTCGCTCCTTGCACGGCGGTAACCATTGCGCTGCAAAGATGTACCACGAGAAGCGCGATGATTAGACGACCGATCGTCATTTCCAAAAGGCAAATATTCCCCTTCAGAGTCAGAATCGGCGAATAACATTTGCAACACATCCTCACGGTACAACTTTTTATCAGCCATTTGGCGATTTTCTCTCACAAATCTCACAATATTGGCGGGGGTTTCCCCATCCCACTTGGCTTTCCGCCCTTTGTATTAAACTATGCATACATACATGATGCTGTTTTGTTTATAGTTGTTTAAGCAACTTAATTATAATTGGATTATAAACATTATTTTAAACATGCACTTTTTTTTCCACAGATAGTCATGTTACCTTATGCGTTGAATTAACGTGCATTAGTAATATTTTGCTCGATGCGCCCTCTTGTGGCCTCAGGAGAGAAGCCAAAAGCTTTTCTTCACCCTAACTGAAATTATGCATAATATTTAAGTACAAAATTCGAATTAAGTTTTTCAGCCATTTTGACAGCCCTACTGGTCTTTCACACGTTAGAGTTGAAAAAGACTCCAGAAATGGGCGTGTAAATCTGTGGAAAATGGGAGTGAAGAGGGGAGAAAACAACCAATAAATCACAGACCTACAACACAGAAAAATAAATGTTAAAATATTTTAATTCGAGAGAATAAAGGCATAGTTACTTCTTGTTTATTCTTCTTTGAATTTTTGGTCTTCATCATCGATTGCTGTGTATCACAATAAAACGTTTTATCATCGCGTTCATGAATAACATTTGCAACACATCCTCACGGTACAACTTTTTATCAGCCATTTGGCGATTTTCTCTCACAAATCTCACAATTTACTCAGACGCTCTGAACTGAACTGCTTCCGCATCAATGACACGATAGCTCACTTGCTCTGCTATTTGCTCGAACGCTTTGAATAGGAACGTGAAGTAATTTTGGTCTAGAATCCGAAGTACTACATGTCTGCCATCTAGTGGTAGGGAATACAAATGAGATATTACGCCTATTTTATTAAGTATGACGTCTTGTCGCAATTTTGCGACTTTGGCACTTAGAGGGTTAAGACGTACAATTGATAAACAAACCTTGGGGCTTGTTCTGTACGAATAACGGATCAACTACGATCCGTTTAACCACTAGCAGCAAGTGTTGTGCTGTTACTCATCGCAGCATTGAGCGCAGAAACCGCTCTCTCATGCGCACTCTACGCGATGTCGAACGCTTTGAATAGGAACGTGAAGTAATTTTGGTCTAGAATCCGAAGTACTACATGTCTGCCATCTAGTGGTAGGGAATACAAATGAGATATTACGCCTATTTTATTAAGTATGACGTCTTGTCGCAATTTTGCGACTTTGGCGCTTAGAGGGTTAAGACGTACAATTGATAAACAAACCGTGGGGCTTGTTCTGTACGAATAACGGATCAACTACGATCCGTTTAACCACTAGCAGCAAGTGTTGTGCTGTTACTCATCGCAGCATTGAGCGCAGAAACCGCTCTCTCATGCGCACTCTACGTGATGTTATATATGTGTCCCTGCAGCACAAAAGCAGTGTTAAGTCGCTGGGGGATATTTGTAGCAAGAGCCAACAATACATTGTATGGGTCAAAATTATAGATTTTTCTTTTATGCCAAAAATCATTAGGATATTAAGTAAAGATCATGTTCCATGAAGATATTTTGTAAATTTCCTACCGTAAATATATCAAAACTTAATTTTTGATTAGTAATATGCATTGCTAAAGACTTCATTTGGACAACTTTAAAGATGATTTTCTCAATATTTAGATTTTTTTGCACCCTCAGATTCCAGATTTTCAAATAGTTGTATCTCAGCCAAATATTGTCCTACCCTAACAAACCATACATCAATGGAAAGCTTATTTATTCAGATGATGTATAAATCTCAATTAAAAAAAAAAGACCCTTATGACTGGTTTTGTTGTCCAGGGTCACACATTAAATATTGTTATGATCTTGTTTTTATAGAGGTGAACTGACGGTGCGGAAACTCTTTCATGGGATTTGAATTCTCTGCTGTAAGATAACCTCATGCATAATACAGCGCAGTGATTGGATCATAAGAGTTCGTTCTCATGAATAATACTGAGAAAAGCTCAGAAAACTGATCATCACTCCAAATTAACGCATATACCTCACTTTTCGTGACGTTGGTTCAATTTAGCTTTTTGAACCAGAAGAACAAAATGGCTCCATAAAATGAAAAAAATCATCACTTTTCCCTCAATAATAGACATAATGAGTGCTGTTGTTGTTTTTACTTATGTGCAACCTGTACATATGTTAACATCTCAAAAAATGTGTTTTAGGGCTTCATTGTCGCGATAGTCAATATATCGACGGGAATTGAGCATGATCGTTTTTGGTGCCGCGATATATTGCGTCTAATTTTTTTAATTAAAAATAATGATTATATTGATTTTTTACATAAAAATGAATCTCGTCTGCTTTCTGTGGTGGAGGCGGGGCTCAGGCAGCGTCTACACAAACACACACACACACACACAGACACAGACACACACGGCGGCAGGTGAAGAGAAGGCATGAACCCATTGCATTATAAAGTGTTTTGTGACATCTACAGCCAGTTAAGAAGAACAAGTCCCAATGGACTTGGTGTCAAAGTCGCAATCTTTAGCTCCAGTGTGGGAAATTTCTTTGGCTTTAAGCCGAATGAGAGAGGAAAGCAAATTAATGTGAACGAGCAAGTATGCTGACTTTGTATAAAAACAGAGGCAACAAAACATATCTATCCCATCCAGTTTTTTAACCTGGGAACAACAACCGCAGCTGGAGCTGCGGAGGTCAATTCAGTCAATTATCTTTTACATACAGATTCCTTTTCCCGGCAGTGAAAATATAAGCGTGTTTTATTTATTTAGGATATATTTTCTCACATTCCAAATCCAATGTCTAAATATTCCTAAGAATAAAAGGTTCTTTGTTTTTTGAAATAGTGTACTTGCATTATTATGCTATTATATTAGTATACTGTCATTATATAATAAGTGGCATAAAATGGTCCTAAAATGACAATAATATAAATATAAATGTTGGTGCAATATATCGCACAACAAAAAGTAGTTATCGTGACAGCCCTATTCATGACCCTTTAATCTCCGTCTGCTTCTGCAGGTCCAACCCACATGTCCATGCAGGGCCCCGGGCCCAACCAGACACCCAGCATACCCAGCGGCTCCATGAACATGCCACCCAGCAGCCATGGCACCATAGGGGCGTATAACCACACAGTGCCCTCCTCGCAGGCAATACAGTCACAGGGGCAGATGAACATGAGCCAGGGGCAGCCCATGGGCAACTACGGCCCTCGGCCCAACATAAACATACAGCCCAATCAGGGTACTCATCTCAAAACCATGTTTTAACAGTAATATCAACTAGGGCTGGGTAAAAAATATTGATATCTCGATTTTAATCGATTCTCATTTTTACGAAATGATATCGATTCTTAAATTCCAAGAATCGATTAGTCTAGCTTGTTTTCAGTTAATGGACGGAACATTGAAGCGCACCTCCCATCCAATAAATCGCAATAAGCATTGTGCTTTGGTACTTTTAATATGAAACACAGTCTCAGATTTCAGGTTCTGTCCATTGTATTGCAGTATTCAAACAATAAAGGCCGTTTTGGCGCTGTTTAATGTGGAGTGACAGATCACTGTAGCACCTCAGTTCAACAGACGTGGTAGAACTGATCATCTCCTCCACATTAATACCAGTTTCAGCACAAAATAAACATGACTAAACATCCGAAGGTAAGTATAAAAGAAATAGTACAACTTTACAATCCGTATCTGTCTCATGTAACCGCTCAATCAGTGTTTCAGCCGTGCAAAGACGTCAATATAACAGCTTGTATGTCACGTAACGTCACATTTACCTCAGAAAAACATATTCGGTGACCATAAACTCATTAATCAGATTGAAAAATAAACTGTAGAGAGGGGCGTTTTGCTAAATGTATGCACCATATAATATATTCATTATAATTTTCACTGTTCTTCAATGTTTAATTTATATGTTTTATGACAAAAAAAAAAAAACGAATTGAAGTAGAAATATTATTATGTAGGCCTAATTGTAACTTTTTATTATTAAAAACGTCATTAAGTGTAATTTAGTTGTATAGCCTAATAAATCAGTCAGTTTTAACCTTCAATATTATAGTAATGTATTTTCTCTCATGTATTTTACTGCGTTAAGGTTTTTTTTCCCTTGAGAACATTTGGCATGTGTAGCTGATATATATCCAAAATAATCGGTATTGAATCGAATCGAATCACAAACTTGTGAATAAGAATCGAATCAAATCGTGAAATTTGTGTCAAAACCCAGCCCTAATATCAACCACATAATCAAAAAAACGGTTTGTAATGAGTGCTTGTGTTTTCTAGGGCCTATGATGCACCAGCAGGCTCCTTCCCAACAGTACAACATGGCCCCTTCTGCTGGCAGTGGGCAGCATTTCCAGGGGCAGCAGAACCCCATGGGCATAATGGGTCAAGGCAATCACGTGTTGGGACAAAGGCCCATGCCTCCCTACAGGCCTCCACATCAAGGTATGCTGAAATATCTTGATAAAATACTGAGTCACTGAGTTTTTGGTTGTTTTAATGTCTGTTTGGTGTGTTTTCAGGACCTCCTCAGCAATATCCTGGTCAAGAGGAGTACTACACGGAGCAATACAGCCATGGAGGACAGGGGGCGCCAGAGGGTAATGTGCATTCTCTTGCAAAATGATTTGTACTAGGGGTTAGGACGATAAATTGATTTGTGGATTGATTCTGTGGTTTTCCAGATGCGTCACGATTCTCTCTCGAATCGATTCCGAGCTTAGTTTTGAACAGCGGATGGCACTGTGTGCTTTAAAACCAGCTGTACTCCGCTTGCTTCCAGTTCCCTACACGTTCTTTGTCTTTCTCTCTTTATGATAGAGGGTTTGAGGGGAGGAGAGAGGGGAGATGCAGCTCTCTGCACACTTTAATTGGAGATGTGTCACACTAAATCAATTGTGTGAATGCAACCAGCAACCGGAGAATTGAACTAGCAGCCCAGGGGAAGCCGGCAGCTTTATTGGGCAGCAGCCATCGTGCCACAGGGCCATAGATGTGCGGCTACGCTAACCAGTGCCTTACACAGCAATAGTCACTATAACCAGAGCTTCAGGTGTGTTTATTTTACTGATTATTCTATCCATACATTTACATGGATAAACGTATTAAATGCCATAGTTTTAAATACCTTTTAAGAAATAACCTACTGTGCTTGAATTCGCACACCAATCACAGCCTCCCTAGAAAACCTTTTGAATGAACTGTATTCTCATCTGTTAAAGTTGTCATTAAAGCTTGGGTTGGTAATGTTTTTAATAAACATCTTTTGTTATAGACCTTATGTGCCAGAGAAACAAGTGCGCAGCCATCTTTAGAATTTTGTCTTCCAAGTAGCTTCATTCATAAATTTGTACGACCTTACCTTCACGACATGGAAATACAAACGGAAGACAGAAGACAAAGAGCCCTATCATAAGGCACGTAGTTCTAGGAACTAGCCAGCATGGTTGTTCCTAGAGAACTAATTTCTCCCTCGGGCTGTTTTCCTGGTTGCATTCGCACCGGCAGCAGGAACACTGAAGCGGCCGACAGCAATGTCTTTATTCGCGGCATTTATAAACATCAACAACCGGTGAATGGAGAACGCCGTGATCGGAGCTGTTTTGTTGTGTGTCACGGGTTTCGTGATAACGGAGACGGAATGTAAATGCACAATTTACTCAATTAAAAGCACGGAAATCTGACTGAATCTCTTATGACAACTTGCAGTGTTTTCATCGAGGCTGAGAAAAGAACATAATGCTGCAGACAACAGGTAAATGCCGTTATCGCGGTTTTCCATATTCGTGGAGTAAATATTTTTTACATCGCTCTTTAAAAATGCCAGGTAGCCGGTGTTTCGGATGCATTTAGCCAATCGGCGTACACTACATCACTGGTGTTCCTATAGAACTGTTTCCTATAGAACTAATTTAGTTCCCCCAAACGGAGTTCCTAGAACTAAATACATTCCTAGTTCCTGCGGTGTGAACACGCCCAAAACCAGGAACTTCCGCCAATAGTTCTAGGAACTATGAAAAGGTTCCTTCGGTGCGAAAGCGCCTATACACCCGGTGCAAGTGTTTTTTGTTAGTTTCAGCCCGATGCAGTTTTCATTTTCACGTCCAGCGCCACGTTGTTAAAATAGCAAATGCACTTGCGGCCATCTGTTCGCCCATGGGTGTGCTGGTCTGAAAACGAGGTGTGTTCAGGTACATTGTTGGCACGTTGCTATTTTGAGGAAACTGAAAACAATTGCGCCATTGACCAACTAAAACCTGGTCTAAAGTCAATGGGTGCAGTATTTTTTTAAATTTAATTAAAGGGTACATTAGTAATATGCACCTATAGGTGAGTGCACAAGCGGAGTACACTCTGCTTATTACACACGCAGGGATGCGCAGCAGCACACAAACATGCCAAATGTTACAAATGAAAGAATTACAATGAAAAAGATTATTGTGTAGGCTTTAACCTCATGCACAAGCAGATCCGTTTCCTCTCTGGAGAAGCGTTCAGTCTTTGCTCTTGCAAATTCCGCCATGTAAATAGCGAATCCGTCATGGTGCAATGCAACTGGCTTTAAAATGAATGGGAGATGAGACTCTTGGTTTATTGCATGTTACGCCCCAAAACACACCCAAGTTGTTTCCCCGTGTTGGAAAGTCTATGTGTTGGTGTATTTTTGGGAACACACTCTTTAGGTCTGCATGAATGAAATCCCCAGCCAAGATGAGAAAAGCATCAGGGTGGGCTGTCTGCTGCTCACTGATGTGCTGGTACAGTTCATTTAGTGCCTCGCTCCTGTTGCTGTTGTTGGAGCTGGGAGGGATGTATACAGCAACGAGCAGTATGGCTGTATATTCCCTCGGTAGATAGAACGGCCGGCACTTAATAATCATAAACTCCACCAGGGGTGAGCAGTGTTTGCAGACCACAACAGCATCACGGCACCACGCATCATTGATGTAAACACAAAGCCCTCCGCCGCGGGTCTTACCTCCCTCGACGAGAACTCGGCGCACCCATGACCCTTTTGGACAATGCGCTTGGCACGTGAATTTTTTTTTTCCGTCATTAAACTAGCAAATGTGGATTCGGACAGGCCCTAAGTGCACCTGTGCCATGCGCTTAGATCGTTCAAAAAGGGCCCAAAGAGAGCAGCACTAAAAAGGGGCGGAGCTACATAAGGTCTACTGACTGACAAAAAATGCAAGTCTCAGAGCCACAAAATGTTCTTCCAATCATTGCATTCCATTCGAGTGCAATGATTGGATGTCCTACCTGCCTGTCAACTTATGTATTTGCATACCTCGGCGCAGCCAATAGCAAGAGTCTGGGGGCGTGGCTTCTGCAGCAGCTGAGCCAGAGGGTGTTTAGCTGGTGTGGAAAAACAACTTCAGATCTCCTTACAGAAGTGCAAGACGAAATAGAAGACTTGCCAAAATACACAGGGACACACATCGAGGTAAAACAAGGGTAAACACTGACAATGCGTTTACAAGATGGAGGAATTTGATGTAATGTTTGGGTCTCTGATCGATGCGATGAACTTGTGGAGTTTCTTCGCGACAGGTAAGCTAAAGTTAAACGTATTTCTAATATGTTGGAGCTTTTATTGAAAGTAGCCTACTTTTACCTGTTGAGGCATGCTTTCACTGTAACAGAGCCGTAAGAGCTGTGTTTGTGATGTTGGAGTTGGCGGAAGCGACCAAGTTCTGCTGACAGTAGAGCAGAAACTACATACTCCTGCTTTAATAGGACATTGTGCAATTGTCTTCCACTCATCTGTGGCATCATATCTGAGTGATTTTTGCATTTCTAGTTTTGGTTTCTGATCAACATGTTCACATTAAAGCAAACGATCTTATCAATATTTTAAAATAAAAGTGGGACATCTCTACTCTAACATATTGTAGCATTAAAGGTGCAGTTCAGAATGAATTATAAAAGTATTATTATATTACATAAATATGTCATCACTATATGGTTGCTCAAAAACAGAACATCTCTGCATCAGAACCTTCACCTCGAATCCTCTGTAACACAAGAATACAGCTCTCTTCACTGAGTTAGACAGTGTGTCCTGTAGGGGGAGTGAGAGAACTTCAAATGATCTTTATTTGGACACATATTACAAGAGTTTCACAAGCAGCACTGGGGGAAAAAATCTTTATGATAGTGATGATTATCATATCTCATTATTCTAAATACATCTTAAAAATGCAAAGCTCTCATGGTGTGAGACAGAAAATCTGAACAGCAAAGTATGTTTCATTATAGACTAACAATCTCGATTGCAAAATTAATAGTTGTACACCACTGACAGAATTTTGTTCAATTATATAATTTTTCCCGAAATGTCTGGGCAAAAGAAATCTTCCTCTGGCACGACAGCAGCAAAGCAGACAATGTCTGAACTTTTACTGGGTATTAATGCAAAATGTATTTAGAGTTTGGTCAGTGAATATGCAGTACATTGTTAAACTAGAATGCACTACAGCCAGGGTTAATAACGAGCTAGAACAGTGCCAGTGCATGATCTTTTAGTCTATATATGGTGTTATTATACGATGCATGATGTAGTGTTTCAAGTAGTGTTGACACTTTTAGTGTGTCGGTGTATTTGTACTTTTTCTTAAAAAAAGTTTACAATTTAGATGATGGGAATAAAAATGCCATACAGGTAGCATGACATTTATGCAAGTATTTATTTAATTTTTTTAAGGTTTTTGTATAGCTAGTATGAATAATCATTAGTCTTTAGGTTTCATTCAGCATACAAGCTGCTTTTTGAGCTTCACTTTGGTCTTTTTTTTTTTGAGTTGTGTTCAATATACTACAGACAGTGACACATTTTTCCAATGCTATTTTTTTGCATTACACATTTTGTGGAAAAAAAACAATTATATATATATATATACTTTTTTTTTTTTTTTTTTTACATTAACAACCAGTTTATTAAAGAAAACATTTGAAGGGCACACTTTAAACAGAGAATTAAAAAAATATATATCTCTGGTCTCATTTTACATTTATATTTTATTCAGTGGCTGCCGTGAGTGTATGTTTGCTATAATAAGTATGGATATTGGCCAAGAGCAAAGATAATAAATATCTGTTTGAGATGCATTTGTCCTTGAATGGAGCAGTGAGGGAGCTCAGCGTGGCATGTTGGTGAATCCTCTAAATAGCCCACGGCAAAAGAAAGCCTGATTAACATGCCAAGAGCCGCTCCAGCTATCACTTACCAACTGCTTGTATTTATAGTTGCTGTCTGTGTGTGTTTGTGAGAGTCTTTTGGCTTCTGATGGTGTGTTGTCCGACTGTGAGTGAGTGAATGTGTGTGTGTGTGTGTGCGTGTGTGTGTGTGGCTCAGTCCTCACGGCTCCCAGCGGACAGGAGGTGTGTTTGTTCTAGAAAGTGCTCGGCTAGATCTCACTCAAGGTCAAACAGGAATAAAGGTCAGGATTTGAGAAGAATTCTATGATGAGTTGATGTACAGACAGTGATTCATTAGTTTAATTAGTTTGCTTTGTGTGTGTGTTAGTGAGTGTGTGTGTGTGTGTGTGAGAGAGAGAGTGTGTGTGTTAGTGAGTGTGTGTGTGTGTGTGTGTGTGTATCTCTGAGAACCTGATAGTCAGAAATAGAGAGAAAAAGAAAGAGGAATAATGGCTGTATGTATGTCATCCAGTGAGAGGAGTTCCAGTTTGTAAATGGGAACTATGGGGATGTGAGTCTGCTGTCCGCCGGTCCCCGGGTCTCTCATGTCAGACCTCCTGACAGCAGAGATGCGACCAGCGCAGAGATCATCCCTCACCAGTGAAGAATACTCTGGTGTGACCGTTTGACAGCCCTGCTGAGCTAGTTTCTTTAAACACTGAAGAAACTAGCTCAGTGTTTTAAACATGAGTCCTCAAGATAACCAGCACTCCTCTACTGAAGAGGGTCCAACATACCAGTAACCAAGTATTACGTCTATCATCTTTTCTTCACAACTGCAATACATTGAACACATTACTCAGAGCTGGGTAGATTAATTACAAATTGTAATCCGTTACTGATTCCAGATTCCATGACAAAAAATGTAGTTTGTAACATAATCCGTTACATCACACAATTTTAGGTAATATAATCAGACTATATATCTTTAAATGATGCTTGCATAGTGCAAATGACGAAAGATGCGATCTGGGAGAAAAGCTGACGTGTCGTCAATGCCTGAGAAATATCTGGATGTGTCTGTGCCTCTGCAGTGTGAAATGTGTTTTGACTGGAAACGACATCGGCGACAGTCTATCGTCGTAGTCGTAGTCACATCATTTCATGTATCACTTCTTGCAGAGATGATCTAACTATGGGGAGATGAGAGGGTCTGCATTACTTGCTATTGGAGAAAGCGTAATGGCTAACTTGGATCACGTGTCCCTTAATAAGCATTGACATTACAGCCTTGACGTCATCGAATTTCAGTTTGGAGTTGTGCGACACTCTGCGTTTACGGATCCAATAGGAGTGGATGAGAAATGCCGTAAGCTGAAACCCACCTGTCAAAAAAAAGGCTTCTCTTATAAAACAGCATTTGTTTTTCAGTGTGAGCTCTAAAAATAGTTCAATCCAAAAGGTTCAAAATATTAAAATCACTGGACTATAAAAATAATCAACAAGACGTTCCGGTGTCTATCCAAACACCTTCATCAGTAGTAAAAAAAATAAAATAAAATGTATAGTCCAGTGATTTTAATACAAATTAAATTTTTTGAACGTTTTAACACCTGGATGATTTAGTTATGAATCTACACAGACATATAAAATCCAAAAGTATTGTTTAGTGAAAAACATGTTGAAGATTGGCTGTCGATTCATTAAATGATAAGTTTCCTCGAAAAAGCTGTTTATTCAGCGTAGTGAAGCCGTGAGTGTGTGTGTGTGTGTGTGAGAGAGAGAGTGTGTGTGTTAGTGAGTGTGTGTGTGTGTGTGTGTGTGTATCTCTGAGAACCTGATAGTCAGAAATAGAGAGAAAAAGAAAGAGGAATAATGGCTGTATGTATGTCATCCAGTGAGAGGAGTTCCAGTTTGTAAATGGGAACTATGGGGATGTGAGTCTGCTGTCCGCCGGTCCCCGGGTCTCTCATGTCAGACCTCCTGACAGCAGAGATGCGACCAGCGCAGAGATCATCCCTCACCAGTGAAGAATACTCTGGTGTGACCGTTTGACAGCCCTGCTGAGCTAGTTTCTTTAAACACTGAAGAAACTAGCTCAGTGTTTTAAACATGAGTCCTCAAGATAACCAGCACTCCTCTACTGAAGAGGGTCCAACATACCAGTAACCAAGTATTACGTCTATCATCTTTTCTTCACAACTGCAATACATTGAACACATTACTCAGAGCTGGGTAGATTAATTACAAATTGTAATCCGTTACTGATTCCAGATTCCATGACAAAAAATGTAGTTTGTAACATAATCCGTTACATCACACAATTTTAGGTAATATAATCAGACTACTTTTTGATTACCTTTAGATTACTTTTGACACATTGATTTAAATAGGATAATCTTGTAGCATATTGATATAATAATGCAAAGAGAAAAAATATATTCCATTCATTGTTATTAACAACATAAAGTGTATTAAACATTACAGGGTTACGTCAGGGTTTCCCAAACTGGGGTTCGTGAAGGAACTGGGTTTGTGAGTTTCATTTAAGGTTTTCCTTTGCTTTCTTGGAAGGTTTTCCCTACAGACGACAGCATTTTCAAAACAAACCCCCATTCACGGATCTGTGAAAATGACTAGAAACACTATTATTCATTCCAGGCCAGTAGTTGACGATGCCACTTTGTAAAGAAATGCTATGTGCCTGCTTGCACACTATTAGACTGAACACAGAATATGCATGCACAAGACATCATCGTTTTCAAAAATGTGCATTTTCGTAGTTTGCATAGAGGCAATAATTCAAAAACTTGCACTGGGAAACCAGATTTAAAAGCATTTTCAAAAACGCCATTGTTATGTAAACGAACAGCTAAAACGCATTTGTAGTTGATTTTTAGGCCCAATTTTCACTCGCCACCAATTTGATTGGAAATGGCCAACAAAAGTCTGAAATCTGAGGCAAAATGGCGCTTGTTCATGCAAATGATGCTTGCATAGTGCAAATGACGAAAGATGCGATCTGGGAGAAAAGCTGACGTGTCGTCAATGCCTGAGAAATATCTGGATGTGTCTGTGCCTCTGCAGTGTGAAATGTGTTTTGACTGGAAACGACATCGGCGACAGTCTATCGTCGTAGTCACATCATTTCATGTATCACTTCTTGCAGAGATGATCTAACTATGGGGAGATGAGAGGGTCTGCATTACTTGCTATTGGAGAAAGCGTAATGGCTAACTTGGATCACATGTCCCTTAATAAGCATTGACATTACAGCCTTGACGTCATCGAATTTCAGTTTGGAGTTGTGCGACACTCTGCGTTTACGGATCCAATAGGAGTGGATGAGAAATGCCGTAAGCTGAAACCCACCTGTCAAAAAAAAGGCTTCTCTTATAAAACAGCATTTGTTTTTCAGTGTGAGCTCTAAAAATAGTTCAATCCAAAAGGTTCAAAATATTAAAATCACTGGACTATAAAAATAATCAACAAGACGTTCCGGTGTCTATCCAAACACCTTCATCAGTTGTAAAAAAAAATAAAATAAAATGTATAGTCCAGTGATTTTAATACAAATTAAATTTTTTGAACGTTTTAACACCTGGATGATTTAGTTATGAATCTACACAGACATATAAAATCCAAAAGTATTGTTTAGTGAAAAACATGTTGAAGATTGGCTGTCGATTCATTAAATGATAAGTTTCCTCGAAAAAGCTGTTTATTCAGCGTAGTGAAGCCTCTCCTCCATTGACATCCATTAAAAAACAAGAAAAAACAGCCGTCTCCTTTTCCATGTACTGCCAAAGCAGAAGCGTTAGCATTAGCCGTCATGCTTTTTTGGTTAAAGGTTGCAGGCTTGCCTTCTAGTGGCTTTGTACTACTCATTGCATCTGCTGCTTTTCCCTTACCTTAGGCATTTTCATAGTTTCTGCAGTTATTGTTGTACTAACATTTCAACCCTCCAGCAGTGGTGGTATTAAAATAGTCTTAAATGTCTAGAGAACTGTGCAACTAAAAAAAACAAAAGCAATCACAAAAGCACAGCTATGTGCTTTCACTCACTGGAAACGTGCAAAACAAAACCTCTGCCACAGAAAACCTGCCGAGGTAGATGACTGAACATGTGCTGCGATGCAACAAGACACGAATGAGCTGCTGCCAGACGCTGCTGTCATGCTCTGCCAAAAACCCCGAGCAAGGGCACGACGTCCCGCTACCCTCCATCCACAGGCCCGGTCTGATCTGTGCTGATGCCCGCCTGCGATCGGCCAACTTGGAAGGTTACAAATATTAGCGGTCAGT